AAAAATTTTTAAATAATTGGGGTTTGGAGCCATCACTGCAGTGAGCATTTGGGAGTCTCTGGATCATGGCCATTAATGCACTTAAGTGGCAACTGGAGGCAGTTCATGGGCATGACAGCCAGGACCCCGGGAGGGCGGGAAGGTTACCCCTGCTTTGGCAGAAGGCAGGTGTAAGCTCTCAACCCTGTAGCTTACCTTGGCTTCCTGATCTAACCCTTTCCTTCTGGAGGCGCCCCCACTGCTAGGTTTTCTTTTTGCGGCCTCCTGGAGTTATTCTTAGGGGCACAACTGTGTCCTGGTTCTCTGAGCTGGGTGCAGGGGGGCAGGGTGGGCGAATGTGCAGTTCTCAGCGTTTTCCAGCGCTGACACATGGCCCCTCCCCAGGACCCCGAGAACTCACACAGGTGAGCGGGTTGCTCTCTCGCTGCATGTCCCCTCCCTGATTTCTAAGGACGCTTTTGTCTTTTGTTCCCAGGTGCCTGGTTGATGCTTCTGAGTTTATCTTGTTTCTTCTTTTTGGGGTGGGAGGAGACTGGCCACACATGGCAGTGCTCAGGGGTCACTCTGAGCATGGACGGTGCCAGAGATGGACTGTGGGTGGGCCGACGTCTGCCCTGTCTCTGTGGCCTCATTTGCTGAAGGCCCTGTTTGTTTCTCTGAGGGAACCCTGCTACGGGGCCACTCTTTGTTTGTCTGATTTTGGGTTTGGGGCCTCACTCGGTGGTGCTCACGGGTTACTCCTGGAGGGCATAGGGGATCCTATGGGGTGTCAGGGATTGAGACCGAATCGGATGCATGCAAGACCAACACCCTACCCACTATACTAACTCCTAGGCATCCTGGGCAGCTGGTTTTGGGGAGGACATAGGAGAGAGACCTTGACCTTCCTGTGACGGGCACAACTGGTGTCGCAGCCCCACCCTGTCAAACCTGACTGGCTGCATGGTGGGTGTCTCTACGTTCCTGGGGTGCCCTGCTCAGAGCACAGCCTCCATTTCAGCGGGACCCTCCACTCCATGCCAGATTTTAGAGTCTGGTGGTGGTCTTCAGGCTCAGCCCACTTGGAGACGGGGCTCTGCGTCAGCTTCCTCAAGCCACCTTGGAACCATCTGCCACTGACAACTTGGGCTAAGCTGCTGGCTCAGGTCCAGGAGCGGGAGCCGGAATGAGAGGGTCAGTGAGCCAACTCCTCTCTCTCTCTCTCTCTCTCTCCGTGCTTGCTATCTCCCTCTCCCTTTTCCTCCCTCTCTCCTTGTCTCTCCTTCCCTCATCCTTTCTCCCTCTCTCCCTCTCTCCCCCCTCTTTCTCCTCTCCCTCTCTCCTCTCTCTGATCTCTCTCTCCTACCTCCCCTGTCGCTCCTCTCCTCTCTCTTCTCTTGGCTGTCTCCCACATCTCTCTCCTCATTCTCTTCCCTGGCTGTCCTCTCCTCACCTCTCCCCACAGTTTCTCTTCTCTCCCTGCCTCCTCATTCTCTCCCTTCCCTCCCCTCCTGTCTCCCCTCCTCCTCTCCTCTTCCTAGTCTCCTCCTCCCTCTCCTCTCTTCTCTCTCCCTCCCTCCCTTTCTCCCCACTCGCCACCTCTTCCCTCTCTCCTTGCTCTCTCTCATCTTCCTCCTCCCTCCTCCTCTCTCTCTCCTCACTCCTCTCTGCTTTCTCCTGTCTCCCCCTTTCTCTTTTCCCCATTCATGCTCCCCCCACCAGCCAGAGGCACCCTCAGCATCATCCCAGGGTGTCTGCTGTGCCCTCTCGGGAGCGCTGTCCTCACCCAAGTTTGTAGAGCGGACATGGGTGCCCACTGGCTCTGCTCCACATGGGCCTCCAGAGAGGGGCCATTCCTGGGACCAAGGGGCCACCCCCGCCCCGAGTCTGCTAGATTCCTGCTGTGTGAAAGGACTGTGTCCCCATACTGCCCCCAACACCCTGCAGGACCTGGGGTGGCGCCTGGCAGGCCCTAAGTTCTGATCTCATCTACTGTGTCGCTGACACTGCAGGGTCAGTCCCCCCTGGGACCAGATGTCAGCAGAGGGGCTGGCTGGTGGCTGTGCTTGCTGTCTTCCAAGGATCTCCCTGTGATGTTCACCCAGATGCTCAGGGCTGGGATGTTCCCATCACTCTGGCAGAATGTGCTGGAATGTGATGGAGAGGAGAATGCGTAGGAGCCTGACCTTGACTGACCCCCTCCCAGTACTGGTATGGAAGCACCCCATACCCCTAAAGCCAGCCGGGGACCATGGATGTGTGGCTGTCTCAGGGTCAGCCCGTGGAGGAGGCTGGGGGCGTGGCTGGCCTCTGTCCTGTCCTTCCTCCAGGCTGGCCTGAGGACCCCAGCACAGAGTGACCAGGGATGACGGGGCAAGAGCCAGGACAGATGGCTGGGGGGTAGCTCTGCTCGTACCATTGGCTCAGAACAGCTTGTCGGAACCGGGGCCCACTTGGGACTACTATCAGGAGCAGCTTCTGGAGCCCTCTGACCCATTTCCCCCAGGGCCCTGAGTGCCCCGCAGTGGGCATGTGGCCACCCTGGTCAGCCTGTGTCTAGCCACCACTTGGGGCTGCTCTCAGCCCCACTGACAAAGTGGTGACTCAGGGTTGTCTTGAAGGAACTTCCAGCCTTCGCCTCCTGTCCCTCCTGTGGTGCTGTGAGCATGGGGCTGGCGGGGGGTGGGGGAGGGTTGTGAGCTCCACTGTGACCTGGTGGCCTGGTGGCTGCAGACCCTCAGGAAGGTGTGTGTGTGGCGGGAGGGGTGAGGGCCTGCGTGTGTGGGTGACTGAGCGCCACCTGCTGGTGCTGAGGGGGAGGGCCTGGCCACGGGGTTCCCATGTGAGTTGCTGCTCACCAACTCAAACCCTTAGGAATTGCCATCACAGCTGAGAAACGGGGCTTGCGCCTGCAGCCTCCTGTTCTCTCCTTGATTGGCTTTTGGACCACATCTGGCAGTTGTCAGAGCTGACTCCTGGTACTGTGCTCAGGGGTCACTCCTCGCAGGGCTCAGGAGGCTGTAGGGAGTGCTGGGGATTGAACCCGGATCAAACCCATACAAGACAAGTGCCTTACCCGCTCCAGCTCTAAATTTCTTTCAGCAAAAACTATTTTGTTTCACACACACAAAACACTAAAATTAACACAGGAGCTAGCAGGGAGCACACATGCTGGAGCAGGGGACAGGGACCTTTGCTTGGGGCCGTTTGTCTCCAGGGCTTCGCAGGGTAGAAACAGGGACAGTTGGGGTGGTTGGGGTGCAGCCAGCCTGGGGCTGGTCACTGTCCAATGGGAGGCATCACCTGTCCTCTGCCCACTCTGGCCATAAATGCCAAGTGCTAAAGGCTTCCCTCTGCTCCCGGATCCTCCAGGCAGCCAGATTGGAGGGTGCAGGCACCTTCCCACCTCTGCTGTGAAGGAGTCCCTGGGCAGTGCTGAGCCAGATGCCCCAGGGTTGTACCCAGAAGGCATTGCCAGGTGATAGCTAGCAGCCATGTGGCACCCCCCGCCCCGACACACACACAGCTTCATTGACTCTGCTTTCCCGAAGCAGTACACACACACACACACACACACACACACACACACACACACACACAGCTGCACATGTGGATACACCAGGGAGACACTGAGGCAGTGACAGTGGGGAGGGAGCAAGGGCACTGAGGCCAGTGAAGTCACGAAGCAGCAGACCACAGAGGCAGCAGTTTAGACGAGCAGGGCAAGTGGGACCCCACGTGTTCCCCTCAGCACCTCTGTCCCCCAGTCTTGGCCCACAGCCGAGGGGCAAGAAGGACTGAGGTCTTAGTGCGTGGCTGTTTTCTGGTAGCAGGTATGGACACGCTGCTGCCTTCACACACCGACTCAGGGAGACAGAAGGAGATGGGGAGAGAGTGGGGCGTGGAAGAAGCAGGGGAGAGACCCGAAGCCTTGTGTGAGCTTGGGTGGGTGATAGCAGGAAGGGCTGAGCACAAGTTTTGCATGTGGGAGGCACTGTGAGCCCCAACACTGTGGGTCCCCCTGATATACACATTGTGAACTCCTAGAAAGTCACACGGACATCCCGGTGCCCTCCGCTGAGGCACGTGGTCAGCAGTGACTTTTTGTCCCATCACGGTATGATCTCACTTACCTGTGGTACATAGACTAACAGGATGAGGAGGTGTAGTAAAGGGGCTGCCTAGATCACCCTTGACCCAGAGACTGGGTAGAGGAAGGACAGAGAAGGAAAGAAATCACAAAGGGAAGGAAGGAGAGAAAAGGAAGTAATGGGACTGAAGGTGTTTTTTTTTCCCTACAAGAGACATTTACTAATGTTCTATTGTATTTATAGTTTTGACATAGCAAACCAAGGTGAATTACACGGTGAAGCACATCCGTCTACATTTATATAACTCATGGGTGTTTGCTAATGCATTGTAAAACCAAGTGGTACAGCAAACAGGTCAGTCTTCAGTTATCCTGGCGATGTGGGAGGTGGTGTAGCCATGTATTCAACACAGACTCAACACCAAAAATGTGACTTCTAAGCTGCCACGGGAACTTCGCAACGTGTCTGTCCAGGGGAGGGAATGCGGGAGCTCTGGTGGCGGGCTCGGCTTTGAAACATTCCATGTCTGAAACTCAACTGCCAATTGTTTTGTAAACCACGACTCAAAATTTTTTTTTTGATTTTTGGGTCACACTGGGCGATGCTCAGGGGTTATTCCTGGCTCTTCACTCAGGAATTACTCCTGGTGATGATCGGGGGACCATATGGGATGCTGGGAATCGAACCCGGGTCGGCCGCGTGCAAGGCAAATGCCCTACCCGCTGTGCTATTGCTCCAGCCTACGACTCAGAATTTTAAAGAAAAATAGAAAGTGATTTTGTTCCGTGCTCCAGGCTGTGTCAGATCTGAGCCCAGGTCCCCACTCTGCCCTGTGCCCGCCCTGCCCCTGCCCCGCCATCCCTTTGTTCTCACTTGGTGACCTCGGGCCTGGGCCCACCAGGGTCTACACTTGCCACTGTTGTCTTGCAGGAGCCCTCCAGCACATTCTCTCGGGAGAAGCCAGGGCAGCTGGAGCTGCAGACAGCGGCCTGTTTCCTGCCCGCCCAGATTAGCCCTCCACGGGCACGCAGCAGCTCCACCAGTGAGTGTCCCCTCAGTGAGGGCGGTTGGTGACCCCACTCATGAACCTGCAGAACCGGGTGCCCCCTGCTGGGGAGGTCCATACCCCCAGGTGTTCTCAGGTATCACACCTCAGGCGGAAGGTGGGAGTTTCTGTCCTGCGTGCCGGTCTCTGCTGGGCGCAGGAACCCTGGGGAGAGAGGGAAGCCCGGGCTGAGTCACCCATCTCCTGGCCCAGGTGTGAGCGCCTGCCGTTCGGGTGATGTGGAACACTTCCTCAGCGGCAGCCCAAGCTCTGCCGCCCCCAGCCAGCAGCCCCCCTCACTGAGCAGTGGCCGCAAGTCATTGTCACAGCAGCTGGACGGGTCGGCAGGCCAGGCAGGGGTAAGTAAGGAGAGGAGGGCAACGGCCAAGCCATGAGGGGCAAAGCCAGGGTCTGTCCTGCCTGGTTTGAGGCCCTGAGCAGTGTCTTGAAGGTGAGGGTGTTTCCTTCCTGCCACGGGAGTGCGGCAGGGACGTGGGCAGGGGACATGGAGCCTCCCGCTGACCTGTTCCCGCTGCAGGGCCCCTGGAGAGCTGCACGGTCGCTGAGCAGTGCCCAGCTGGGGCAGCCCGCGGGGGTCCCACCAGCCTGGGTCATCTCCAGCGTGGTGCTGATGAAGGGCCAGGCCAAGGTGAGCATGGGTACCCTACAAAGACCACTAAGCCCCCACACTGAGCTCATGGAGGGAGCTGTGCCCCAGGGTCTCCTGCAATACTTTCTGGAAGTTTCTTCAACCCGATCATTGACCTCAGTCATATTCTCAGAGGCTCTGCTGCTGGGGCGGCTGTTTCTGTACCACCAGCCACCCCCAGTACAGGGCTGGGGCAGAACTTGGGGCCTCTCCTGGAGGAGGGGGTGGGGTTCTTGGGGTCCTTCATAGAAGGCACTGACCCTAACCCAGGAGCCATTGCATGCATATGGGGGGCACACACCTTCAATCCCACAGGAAGATAAAAATGGGGCACAGAGTAAGGTGCCTTCGTAATCTCTCCCTCAATGTTCCACACCTGGGCTGGACACAGCTCAGGTGGTCCAGTGCCCTCTCCTGGGCAGGAGGGGGTGTCCTTGCCATCCCCGACCCCATGTCCCCTCTGCATTTCCCCCACAGGGACAGGCCACGGCTGTGGGTTCTGCTCTGCACAGCTGAGTACCCCTGCAGGGCAGAACTTTCAAGGGGCTGCTGGGGGAGGTTTGTGAAGCCCAGAAGGGGCAAGAGGGCAAACCCAGTGACTTTCAGCTGAGATTCCAGTGGTCGTATGCATTAAGCCTCCATGTGCTGACCCATTGCCTCGACACACCCACTCACTGCAGTGCCCCGCGGTCAGAGGGTTGGTGCTGAGGAGCTCACTGGTCTGTCCTGGCGGCCAGGGCCGGTTTGTTCCCTGCGCAGCCCTGAGATGGGCTGTGCTGGGGGCTGAGGGTGAGGCTGGCTTGTTCCCCTCTGGCAGGGCCTTGGCTTCAGCATTGTGGGGGGTCAGGACAGCGCCTATGGCCCCATGGGCATCTACGTTAGGACCATCTTCCCCGGAGGTGCAGCTGCTGCCACTGGGCGCCTGCAGGAAGGTACAGCCACCACCAGACTCTACAAGGGCAGTGGAGGGCGGGTGGGGCACGGGGAGGCGAGCGTGTGCATGCTGACCCCCGGAACAAGCAGGTGGGTTTCCAGGTCTGGGAGCCTCTCACACGTACCTTCCTCTTGGGGGGTGCTGATGGCTGATGCGTGGTGGGGAGCCCCCGCTGCCCCTCGGAGCCCCCTCTGGGCATCTGAGTTGCCTGGGTCCCCTTTCTGGGGGAGTGTGGAGGGGAGTTTCAGTGCCAGACTCCCCCGGCCTCTGTGGGGCTCCCAGGACAGGTGGCAGGAGGCAGCCAGGAGCTGGGTGGGGTCGGACACTGGACCACATGGGAATGGGGCGGGACGGTGGCCAGGGTCTCCACTGCCCACGGGCGCTGCTGGAGGCCCAGGCTGGGGTTTCCTCCCCTTCTTGCCACAGGAGATGAGATTCTGGAGCTCAATGGGGAGCCCATGGCTGGACTCACCCACCAGGAGGCGCTGCACAGGTTCAAGGTGAGGGAGGGAGGGATGAGGTGGGTAGCCCAGCACCCTCCCCCTTCCCTCCCCTGTGGGTCTGGCCTGCCGTGGTGGTGCCTGGTGGTGCCGCAGGCAGCTGTGGCTGTCTCCCTGCCCCTTGCATGCACCGCTGTTAGTGCACTTCCACACCTACTTGCACGCCCGGTGGCATTTCCTTGCAGGATGGCTCCCTGCTTCTTGAGGGGCCCGGTTTGCTCTGCTCGCTCTAAATGCTCTCGTAATGCTCTCCCTCTCCCTCCGTCTCCCTTTCCTGTGTTTCTGTGTCTCTGCCTTCAGCAAGCCAAGAAAGGCCTGCTCACCCTGACGGTGAGAACCCGCCTCACGGCGCCTCCTGCCCTGAGCAGCGCCCTGTCCCCACCGCTGTGCCGCTCACTGAGCTCGGGCACCTGCGCCTCCGTGGACAGCACCTGGGCCCTGGGCAGCAGCGTCCGGCCCAGCTACCGGGTCCTGGTGGAGGTTTCCCTGCACAAAGGTGGGCTGCGCACACGCTGTCTCCCCACCGCACGGGGTGTCGGGCACCAGTCTAGCAGCTCCCACCCACCTGGCAGCGCATCCAAATCCCACCGGGTGCCCCCTAGCTATGGGGAGCTCAGAACAGAGCAGACCTGGCCACGCGCCACCCCCCCACCCCAAACAACACACAAACTCAAACACACATACCCCACACCCTCCCCTACAACGACACACAAACTCAACCCCATGTACCACAAATTCTCCCCCACAACTACATACGCCCCAACCACATGTACCGCCACCCCACCCCCCAGCCCAGAGGCCCCTTCTGACAGGGGTAGTGGTCCAGGGCTGCTGTTGACTCGCGTCTGTCCGCAGAGGCCGGCGTGGGTCTGGGTGTGGGCCTGTGCAGTGTCCCCAGCCTGCAGAGTGTCTCCGGCATCTTTGTGCTCGCCCTGTCACCTGGCTCGGTGGCACACCTGGACGGGCGGCTCAGGTTGGTCCCAGTGGGGCGTGGCGAGCCCGTGGGGAGCACTGTGGGTCTATTTCCTCATACTGAAACTACTGGGGGGCTTGCATCCCCTCACAAGAACCAATCCCAGCACCTGCCTTTTCAGTGCTTTGGGGGGAGCCCCCCACACTGGTGTCCAGGAAGGGGTGCTCTGCAGGGCCACAGCTGGCAGGAGGGGGAGGGGCTGGCCAAAAACATGTGCCCAGTGCCCTGAGCACCCCCTCGCCCTTCTCGGGGACAGGGAGTCCCGCTGTGTCCCCCGTGGGTGTCTTCACATGCCTGGCTTCCTGTCCCCATGGGGGATACTGGGGTTCCCTATCACTTGGGCTGTCTGAGGGACACCTATAAGCCTGGGAAGGAGCATGGAGAGGTGGGCCATCTGGGTGGCAGGGGCACTGCTCTGGGCTATGAGGGGGGTCTCAGGGATCTCCCACCTCCTGCAGGTGTGGTGATGAGCTGGTGGAGGTCAGCGAGTGCCCCGTGCGCTGCATGACACTGAGTGACGTCTATGCTCTGCTGAGCCACTGTGAGCCTGGCCCTGTCCCCATTGTCGTCAGCCGCCACCCTGATGCACAGGTGCGCGCCTCCCTCCCTGTGACCCTGTCCAGGTCTCTGGGATGAGTTAGGGGTGTAGGCTGCGGGCTCAGGGCCAGGAAGGCTCCTCCCTGGCACACTCTGAGCCTGCCTGGGTGCCCAGGGTGTCACCTGCAGTTTGCAGGGTCCTTGGGAGGGGGAGGAGAGACACTCTGTGTGTGTGCTCCCCCGCCCCCAGGTGTCCGAGCAGCAGCTGAAAGTGGCCGTGGCACAGAGTTCGGAGACTGTTCGCTTTGGGAGGGAGAAGCCGGCGTGTGGGCTGGACGGTGAGGAGTAGGCCGGGGGGGGAGGGGAGGGTGGGGAAGAGTTGTCGGGTCCCCCAATCACTGCTGCTCACACTGCAAGTCTGGATGGGGCCTGGGGCAAATCAGGGGTGTTCTGGCCTGCCTCATCCATGGGGAGAAATGCTCCCCTGCACCATCAGACTCAGACTCCAGGTCGGAAAAAAAGAATGGTGTGTTGGGGCCCCTGTCTCACATATGCGAAAAGGGTAGAGGAAGATTGGGATCCCCGACTGGCAAGGAGGGATGTCCACCCAGAAGCTTGCTGGGTGGGGGTGGGGGGCAGGTGTGGTGTGTGTGTCTGTGTGAGATGGGGGCCCACAGACTCCCTATATGGAGAAACCCATGCTGCCGGCATCTGTGCCACCATCTGTCCACCCCTACTTGAGCAAGCTGGGGCTCTCTCTTCATCCCTGTCACCCTGAGACTCCAAAAGTCAAATGCTTCCCCTGAAAGCCTCCATACCCACAGGGACCAGCCCTGGCCAGGTGCCCTGAGATGGACCTGTGGGTGCCCCATGCTCACCTGGGTGCCCCGTGCTTCCCAGCAGGTGCCAAGCGGCTGGAGAGTAGCTGGCATGGGCGGCCAGCCCTGGAGAGGGGCGAGAGTGGGCCACCTGCCCGCCGTAGGCCACAGGCCATGGCACGTTCCAGCAGCTATGCTGCTGCGTCCCCAGGGGGCAGCCCCTGCAGTGCCCATAAGCCCCCTGCTTTGGACCCTGAGGTTGGCACCCCCAGCCCTCCCCGGGAGAACTGGGCACTTCCCACTGACCAGACCACCCACCCACCCCTGCGTCTGCGCAAGTCCTGTGAGATCCTGGTGCGGAAGCCCACGAGTTGCAAACCAGTGCCTCCACCGCGGAAGTACTTCCGGGGCACCAGCCCCCCACTGCAGGGCACCCCCAAGGCTGAGCACACTACTTACCAGGTAAGAGAGACCTGGGTCCCCTCGTTCTGGGCACACCCCAAAGGGAAGCTCATGACACATTGCTGTGTCAGAATGCTGGGAGCAGAGTCTAGGGCTCGGGGTGCCAGGTTGCTAAGGAAGGGGCACCTGCCACCATGGTGCAGTGCTGACTGCTGCACCCCTAGCGTCAGAACGGGGTGATGAGGACACAGAACCCTTTGCTGCAGCTTTCTGGCCCCCGCCACCTCTCACCCCCACCCTACAGTCTTCCCTGGGCACCCAGACTCCTCTTTGCTATTGGATGGCTTCCCACCCCATCTTCCATCTACTTCCCTTCAAGAGAATGAACTCTGACCCCAGGAAACTGCTAAGGAGACAGTTGTAGGAGCAGTTCATTCGCAGGAGCACAGGACGGGAGTATCGCAGGAAAGGGGGGTCTCCTAGGACGGGGTGCCACAAGAGCCCAGGTGCCGGTTGACAGGAAGTCCCGACTCTGACTTCATACTGTCTCGTTTCCTGTTTACACCCCAGGAAGCCAGTGGGCCACAGCCACCGCCACCAGCACAGGAAGGGGTGGCGGGGACAGTCGTCAGCACCTTGGCCTTGTCCTGCTGTGCGGGGTCTGCAGCCGGGGGGCCCGCACCAGCAGGGACAAGTGGCTGTGCAGGTGGGTGCCTGGGGCTTTCGGGGGGTGGGCAGGGGTGATGCTCGGTGGGACCCCTATGATAAGGAAGGGGCTGTGGAGGTGTGACACAGGTTACAGGGCCTGGGGAATGCACCTGCCCTCCCCCCCTCCCGGGGTCCAGGAGGGTGAGGCGCCCTGCTGGGGGTGCAGCGGGACCTTTCTGCCCTCAGGAGCCCTGGTGTCCCCCACAAAGCCCTCGCTACTCCGGAGGCAGGCACGTGTGGACTGCGGAGGCCCCACACCCTCTGACGACCCCTGGGTGCGCATCTCTGGTTGCATCAAGACTCTTTTCAGTCCTGCCATGAGCGAGTGCCCGGGACGCGGGGAAGATGGGGTGCAGGGGGCCCTGCCCAAGCCCCCTGCTGCCACCTCACCAGCCGACAGCAGCACCGGGAAGAAGGGCCCACCTGTGGCCCCCAAGCCAGCCTGGTTTCGCCAGAGTCTGAAGAGCTTAAGGGGCCGGGCCCTAGACCATCAGCCACTCCCTGACGGGGGCTCCCTGGAGCCGCCAGCACACCTGGAGCGCCAGGGCCCCCCTGCTCACACCAGCACCTCCATCAGGCAAAAAATCAGCTCCTTTGAGACCTTTGGCTCCTGGAAACTGCCCAAGAGGGAGGCCCAGAGACTTGAGCTGCAGAAGCCCAGTCCCGCAGGGGTACAGAGCCCCACCAAACTGCAGCAGCAGCCCCCATGCCCCCCAGAAGTCTCTGATGCCAGTCCTCCTGGGATGTCTGCGCCCTCCTCCCCCGGGCATCCCTGCAGTCAGCCAGCCCCCCTACCCAAGCCAGACACCCCCAGAGGGTGCCTATCCCAGCTGGCTGGGGACTCTCTGGGACCTGGGAACAAGCGGCCCACCCAGCGGGCCCATAGCTTCCCCCTGGCCAGCCCCGTGCCCAGGGAGGGAGCCCCTAGTAGGCTGTATGGCCTCAGCTCCCAAGTGTCCTCTGCCGTCCTTCGCTCTCTGCTCAGCCGCCTCCCAGCCACGCCCAGCTCACCGCCCAGTGGAGACCCTGCCGAGCTGGCCGCCACCAGTGACACCGGCTTCTCACTCAAGTGAGTGATGTGCTTGCTGTCACTTCCCTTCTCTCTCTTGTCCTGTCGGCACCCCAGAATGTATGTGAATGTGTGCACACAAGAGCGTGTGTCTGTGTGCTGGTGGTAGGTGCCTGTGATGCTTGTGGTTTATGAGTGTGTGACTGAGTCTGGGCCCACGCTGTGGAAGGGGTTTTCCCAGCACTTTCTTGGCAGGTGGTCACAGGCGATCCCTCTGGGACGTGACCTGCCATACTCAGACCGGCTGAGTGCAGGATAGGCTCTGTCCCTCCAGGGACCCGCTGGCCCTCTGCAAGTGAAAGATGGGATGTCTAGGTCCCCCTCCTCCTTGTTGCTCCCCACTAACATCAGTGCCAATGAGCTCCAGCTGGAACATCGTGCACTTCTGGGGTGCTGGCTGGGGTAAGGGGGGTTCTCAGAGGATACTAGAGCCTCCGGTTGTAGCTTGGGCTCTGAACTTCACGGCTGACTCCTGCTCGTGCCTCTGGCAGCCTCTCGGAGCTGCGGGATTTCCAGGAGGGGCTGGCGAGGACACCCGAAGCTGAGGAGCACGCGCCCCGCTCCCCGCAGCCAGGCCAGTCGGTGCTGACCCTGCTGAGCACCGAGGAGCTGAGGACACTGCTGGAGGAGGTGAAGAGCCTGGACAAAGCCACACTCGAGGTAGGGACATTGCCACGGGGGTACTGTGTGTGTGTTTGTGTTGGGGGGGGTCATTCTGAATGCCTGTCTGTATACAGAGATGGCTGGTGTGTGTGAGGTGCCCATCTGTTCAGGGTGTTTTTCGTGTTGGGGGTGATGCTTAGCCCATCTGCACTTGGTGTGTGTGTGTATATTGTCGGGGGTTCACTCACCCCATCTATATTTGGTGTGTGTAGTGGGGAAGGGAGGGACACAATGCCTGTCTGTACAGGGTGTGTTGTGGGATCACTCAGCCTGACTGTATGGGGTGACTGTGTGTTTGATGTGGAGAGGCTCTTTCTATACAGGGAATGTGTCTGTGTGTTGTGGGTGGTCACTCAGCCTCTCTGTACAGGGTGTGTGTGTGTGTGTGTGTGTGTGTGTGTGTGTTGTGGGCAGCTTACTCAGTCTGTATAGGGGATGGGTTTTGGGACACTCAGCCTGTCTGTATGGGTACATTTGTGTGTGTATTGTGGGGGGGCTCTCTTGGCCTCTTTGTATAGGTTGTGTGTTGTGGGGGGCTCTCACAGGCTGTCTGTCCAGGATGTGTTTGTGTTATATGAGTGGGGGGGCGGGGGGAGGAGGAACATGAGTATTAACAAGCCCAGTAAGGGTCAGATGTTCGATATGCACTTAGAGAGCTCAACGGAACAAGGGAGGAAGAAGGAGGAGAAAGGAAGAAAGGAGGAGGGGGGAGGGCGGAGAAAAAGCAGCAGCAGATGCCGATGGTGCTGATGGTGGGCTTCACAGGCTCACCCGCTTGTCTGCCAACGTGGAGGATCACACAGCCTCTGTGTGGTGTGTTGTGGGGGGCTCATTCAGCCTGTCTCTGCAGTTGTGTCACTCCCCCTCTTTGGTGTACCTGTTTGTATGGGGAGCTTGTGTGTTCGCCGTGGAGGATTTGTACGTGGTATGTTGGGGGGTTCAGTCTGTATCTCTAGGGTGTTTATGTGTGTTGTGGGATTCTCGGCCTGTTGGGACCAGCTGTGTGTGGCTGGGGACTCACCCAGCCTCTCTACCGGGTGTGTGGCGGGTGCTCACTCAGCCTGACTTGGAGAGGTGTGTGTTTATGTATAGATTATTGGGGGCTTACTCAGAATCCCCGTATCCGTGGGCGTGTTAGGGGATGCTTGCTCAGCCTATCTGTATAGGGTGTGTTTGTGGGACTATTACAGGGGGCTCACTCAGTCTCTCTGTTTAGGGGTGTGTCTTGTGGGACACTCAGCCGGTTAATGGTTTGTGTGCGTGGTGTGGTGTGCATACTCATCTTGTACGTACTGTGTGTGTGTGTGGGGGGGGGGGGGCAGGGCAGTCTCAGTTGACCCAACTCTGTATAGGGTGTGTGTGTGTGTGTTGTGAGGGGCTCACTTGCCTATCTGGACAGGGTGTTTGTGTGTGCTCTGGGGCTCACTCAGCTGTCTGTGTAGGTGTGTGTTGTGAGTGCGTTCACTAGCCTGTCGATACGTGGTATATTTGGGGGACTCACTCAATCTGGGTTCCCCCATGGAATCGTTGTTGTGTTGTGGGGCTCACGTGCCTGTTCCCTCACAGCAGCTGGAGCGTGTGCGTGTCACGGTCCTGCACAAGGCGGCAGGGGCGGGCCTGGGCTTCAGCCTGGCCGGAGGGGCTGAGCTGGAGAATAAACTCGTTACGGTGAGTGCCACCACCCGTGTCTCACTGCTGACCCCACACTCACACGCTCCCTAGAGGCACAGAACAGACCCAAGCAGACCACTGCTCGCGGGCCCAGGTGGCAGTGCACAAAGTTACTTTATGTTCCCCAACCCTGGGAAAGTTTGTTCCAAGCACTGGTACTTGACATGGGGACATGGCTTGGAAACACGAGGGCGGTGGTGAGTTTAGGCCTGGGGCGCGGGGGCGGCAAAGGCCAGCCAGTCCTCTGAAAGCCCCCCCCTTCTCCCCAGGCTCTGGGGACTTGTGACCCACCTGTCCCCACCATCCCCGCAGGTGCACAGAGTCTTCCCTGATGGGCTGGCGGCCCAGGAGGGCACCATTGAGAAGGGCAGCGAGGTCCTGTCCATCAACGGCAAGTCCCTCAAGGGTGCCACACACCAAGAAGCGCTGGCCGTGCTCCGGCAGGCACGGGGCCCCCAGCAGGCTGTGGTGGTCACCAGGAAGCTGGAGCCCCAGCCCCCCACAGCACCTGCTCTGCCTGTGGAGCCTGGTAAGTGCCAACACTGCCAGGGCAGCGGGGTCTGTTTGTGGTGCTGCCACCCCTCACCAGGCCTGTGTCTCAGCAGCGGAGAGTGCGGTGTTTACTATCACGTTGGTCAAGGCAGCGGGCAGCGTGGGCTTCAGCCTGGATGGCGGTCAGGGGTCCCTAAACGGGGACCGGCCTATAACAGTCAACAGGATCTTCCAAGGTGGGTGCTCTGGCTCCTCCCTCACTCCTAGATCTGCGAGGATCCTTCTCCCACCTTTCTGGAATCTCCTGTGTTTTGCCCGCCTGTATTGGGAGTAAGCCAGCGCAACACGGCACATGGGTCACTTGGCCAGCCTTGGGGGAGTCAGGAATGTGTGCCCTGAGGACTGAGGGCTGCTCCTCCATGCTCTCCTCTGCCCGGCTCAGGGGCAGCAGCTGGGAGCGCCGGGGAGAGTCTGCAGCCGGGAGACGAGATCCTGACCCTGGGCAGCACCACCATGCAGGGACTCACACGCTTCAAGGCCTGGAAGGTCATCAAGGCGCTGCCTGACGGCCCCGTCACTATTGTCATCCGGAGGAGGGGCTGTGGGGCCCAGGGGGCACCCATGGCAGAGGACCCACACTGAGGCCACAGCCCCACCACACTCAGGGATTCAGCACTGGTGCTCCCATGGCCAACCCCGGCCACACCTTCTAAAGGAGGCCCCCCGCAAGCCCGGGGCTGCCCCAGGTGAGGACGGACGAAGAGCACAGCACTGGGTGTTCCGGCCATGGCCCATGGTGGTGGAACAGATCCCAAGCAGCTTCTCCGTCCAGAACAGCTTCTTTGGACGGTTCTGAGCCTGCTGGCCGGGTAGGCATGAGAAAACACCAGTGTGAACAGACACAAATAAAAGTACCTTTCCGGAAGGAATGCGGAGCTTCTTTCTAGAACCCACCCTCCAATTCATAGCTGCTCCCAAGGGCAGAACTGGGTCAGGGTGGACGAGGTGGCAGAGGCATGCCACGTGCTGGGGGCAGGGTGCAGGGCCCCTGAGGAAGTGCAGCCATCAGCCTTGCAGGGCCCGCTCCAGGTTGGCATAGAAACCGGCCATGCTGCGGGGGAAGAAGGAGTCCACTGCGCTCCGGGGCAGCAGGCCACTCAGGTCAGTCTGGAAAAACGTCACCAACTTTGTCCTGCCAGGGTCCCTGTGCCAGTGGGGACACAGCTGTGAGGGTCAAGGGCGCCCCAAGAAGAGTCAGACTCAACTTCAGCCTCTGGTGGGTGTCTCCAAGGGGCCCAGGACAGACACTCCCATTCTGGGCCTTGTTAAAGTGAGCAGGGCTGCTGGTTGACCAGGCATGGAGCTCAGCGGGCAGAAGGTGGTGGTTTCCTCATCTGCTAAAGGGCGCCATGACCACACCGTGACAGTGGGGATGGGAGTTCTGGAGTTCTTGAAGGTGCTGGGGGGAATCTTAGCTCCTGGACCAGAGGTAGTAGGCTCCCCACCCCTCCGCTCCCCTTCCCCTCGCCATCCTCACCCTGGCAGGGGCTCACAGAGGCAGCCGCAGGCATGGTTGAACCCACGCACGTAGCCTGGCTGTGGGGGGCAGGATGGATGTTCCACGTTGGTAGCTGCAGGGCGAAGAGGGGGCTGTGAGTCCCAAGTTTAGGGTACAGTGCCCTGCTCACGTCCACAACCTTCAAACTTCAGCCATGGGAATAGAGAAGCCTCGTGGACCTCACCTCCACCCATAGTCCCTGCGCTGTGAAGGCCCGGAGTCCTGTCCAGGCACCAACAGGAACCTCATAGGGCTGAGCCGGCTCCCTGGGAACTTGGTCGGAGGTGTGGGCTGGAGGAGTCGGGCTCCAGGACTCACCGTTGGAGCTGATGGTGCCATCCTCGTACGTCCGCACCAACACCAAGTCCACAAAGTCCCGGGGCGAGATGAGCTTCATGGCGGCGGAAGGGGTGGTGGTCCTGCTAACGCAGAGGGTCTGCAGAGCGACGGGAGCAGGGGCTGACACCCAGTGCACCTCATGCACAGGAGGGTGGGGCAAAACCTGGGGCTCCCCACAGCCTTCCTGCACCGCTGGGGTCCAAGGCAAGGCCAGAGGAGGGCACCATGCAAGAGCTCAGGACGGGGCTTCTCCCTTTCAGGGTTATATAACCTGACCCCACCTGCTTCTCCTATCTCAGCAACCTGCTAGGAACGGGTTACACCTTTTGTCTGCACACACCAGCTTCTAGATTCTTCCCCAAATGCATGCCCAGGGGTGGCAATGCCAGGCCTCTGCTGTCCCCAGCACAAGCAGCAGAAACTTCTAGAACTCTGCCTATGAGGTCCTGAGCTCTGACAGCTCTGACGAGAGCTCTTACCTAGTGCTGCTCCCCATGGCCCTGCAGGGGGGACTTGGAGAAAATGGAGAGAGACCCTGAGGCATGGATGGGGGGTGGCTGGGGGGTCCTGTTGGAAATCAGGACAGGGCCCCTTCTGGCATGTTCCATTTCCTGCAGCCCAGCCTGCCTCCCACAGACACACTGTCAGGGGAAAGGAACTTGAAACGTCTAACAAAGATGTGCTTTGAAATGGGCCACACCATGGAGCAGTTCCTGTGACTTGTTCTGTCCTATCCAGAGTGGCACACGCATACATGTCGGTGTGCACAGGAGTGAGCGGCCGCAGGTAAACAGGTATCAGGCTGGGGGTGGGGGGTTGCCTCCCCCTCATCGTGAGGCTGAGTGAAGGCTTGACGTGGGGCCAGCTCACCCCAGTGACTCGGCCTCACCTCTGATGGATGCCAAACCTTTTTACCTGCCCCACAAGGTTCATGTCCAGGCTGACATGGCCCCTGAAGCCAGTTTCACAACAGGCAGTGTGGACACCACAGCGTGGGTTCCAAAACCACGCCTCAGCCACACTGCCTTCCCACCAGCTCTGGGGGAAAGTTTTCCTGGTTTCCTGCAACCCTCCTGCCAGCGCCCCACTCACATGAGAATCCAGAGGTGGGAAGTCCCACTCACCCCCTCAAAAGGTCCGTGTCCAGGTGGTTCCTCCCTGGAGCCCTAGGATCACCCTGCCCTGGCAGCAGCTTCCCAGGAAGGACTTTCCCTGAGCAGGGAGGGGGCCAGCTTGGACCCTGAGTCGAGACACTTACATCGCTGAAGGTCTGGACGATCTCGAAGCTGGTCACATTCTCGTCCCACTGCTGCCGAAGGCCCCCTGCCTCGGGCTTGATGTAGTCCCACACCCGGGCAGGCGGAGCGTCCACCACACCTTCGCCACGGTACCTGGGGGTGGGAAGGGCTCTGACCACTGGGACCCCGCCCAGCCCTGCACCCTGGGCCTGAGCTGGCAAGAACACAGTGTGCTGGAAGCGACTCTGCAAAGAGCCGAGGCAGTGCAGCGGTCTGGAACCCGGGGAGCGCCTGACCAGCCCAGAACGAGGCGTGACTTACAGGTGCCCTGGGAACTCCACAGAAGGCCGCCAGGAAACGGACACTCCGTTCTGTCAAAAGGCACAGAATCGCAGACCCTGAGCGCCCGGGGGCTGGGGGCAGCCCAGGGGAGACTCGCGCCCCGGGGTGGCCAGGTGTGGGGCAGTAGGGGGCACCACCAAGGCACCCTGCTGGCCAGCCCAGCCACCTACATACAGCTCCCTGTCCACATTCCGCGTGCCGAGGAGCTGTCAGGGGAAAAGGCTCCCGCGGGAGCTTGTGTCCACTTGCGCGGGGTCAGCACCCGGCCCGCCCAGGGTCGCACTCACGCTCTGCCGGCAGACCTTCCAGCCCGACGCGTCTCGCCGGTACTGGAGCACCTTCTCCGCCACCTCCCCGGCTCTCTGCACGGCCTCGGCGGGTTCCATGACACGGAACTGCGTGCACAACGCGGGGCGACTGGGCGGCGGCGCTGGCCAGCCCGAGCCGGAAAGCCCGGGCCCTGGGCGGGGCTGGGGATCCCGCTCCCGGATTGGCCCGGGGCGGGCCTGGCTCCGCCCCTCTCCGCGATTGGCTGGGGCCGCGCAGGCCGATCCCGCTCCACTCTGGCCCGGCCCCTCCCCACGCCCGGATTGGCCAGGGCCTCGGGGGCGGGGTCGCCCCTCCCGGCCACGGCCCCTTCCGATTGGCCAGTTGCTCGGCCCATCCCGCCCCTCCGCCTTAGGCCTGTCCTTCCCCGCCGGGCGCCGCGCCCACCTGGGGTGTCGTGACGCGGTGGCGTCGGGTTGGCTAGCTGAGAGTGAACTTTGTCCTGGGTGCAGGCGGGGTCCAGGCGGCCCGGGCACGGGGACCCCTGCAGCCCCGCGGTCCTCAGGGCGTGGGCGCGGCTGGACCCCGGACCCTCCCCAGAGAATCGCGGCGCCAACTCGCGTAACTCCCACGCAGACCGGCTCAGGCGTCCACCCGAGGGCCCGAAGCCAGAGACGGGCTTTGTGCTCGTGGACGCGGGACGGGAGCGTGTCCTGAGGCAGGCTGGATTTCCACCGCGGGAAAGGCAGAGGCTGTGTGTGCGCGTGCCTGCTCATGCACGCGCCTGCACAAAGCCCGAGGACGTTTCCTTCCCCGTCTCCTCACACACCTTCTCTTTATTTGAATTACCCGCAGTTACTCTGCACAGTTAAAGGGCAGCATTCAAGGCTCCAGTGTGGGGGTCATTCTCCAGAACTGTCTCAGGCGCCCCTCACGCCTGGCGCCTCTAGAACCGAGTCTGGCGTGTACAGGCTAGGAATACCCACCAAGGGAAGGCCCAGGACCTCTTCCGACACATTCATAGAATGTCACATGGGTCAAAATGGAGCACTGAATGTGAGCCTGAAAAACTGCTTACTACAAAGAGAACCTTCATTCCTTGCTCGGGGGCAGCAGTTGGCCTGGCCTGAGGCCTGTCCAGGCCAGAGCAACAGGGCAGGGGCAGGACAGGGGTAAACAGATCTCATGAGTTCCATGTCCCATGAGAGAGGGGCAGGAGGGGCCTCCTGCCATCTGTGGGAGCTGGAGGGAGCGGGATGCCTGAGCTCAGAGGCACCCCCTGGACAGAGCCTCTCACACTGGGGCACCCAATCCCCAGGTTCAAAGTAGATTCAAGCTAGTGACTCCCAGAAGAGTTCAAATTTCAGTAGGAGGGTCAGGTCCACCTCCAGAGCTGAAAGGGCAAAGACGGGCCCAAATCTCCCACAGAAAAGCTCCTGAGTGAGCTTGCTCTGACCTAGAAACTTGGGGAAACTGTCAGCCCCAGCAGAGGGGGTCAAGGCTGCTGTTACACTTTCTGTGCCCATGCTCAGGCCCTCTTCAGGAGGCAGCAGCTGACTGGCTTCCTCCTAGGCCCACTCGCTAGTCCCTCACCAGCCCCCCCGCCCAGTCTCTATCTTGCTGAGTATGGACACGGGTCCCCAGGAACCTGGGGCACTCGTGACCCTCTCTTGAGCTCTCCAGTTCACTCCTCTGCTCCCTGCCCCTCTCAACGGATCAAGAATGGCCCCATTACCACAGATAGGACAAAGAGGAAAATAAATGCGGCAAATGTCAAGTCCTGAAAAGCATGCACACACACAATCTCTCTCTCTCTCTCTCTCTCTCTCTCTCTCTCTCTCTCTCTCATTCTCCCTCTTACACATACACACACTCTCTCTCACTTGTGCACACAACTGAAGAGAAGGCACCCACGCAGACTAGGGGGTCCTTGACAGCCTCTCCCCACTTGGGCTGAGTTATTGATACATAAAACACCAGGGCCACCAGTAGCTATGCCAGGTGCCCCCTCCCTGGCCCCCTCCACTCCAGCGCAGTTCTGGCCTCGAGGAAACACTTTGCATCTCTAGGGTGCTCGTGTCCTGCACAAGTTTGGGGCACAGGCACATGAAAACTGGTGTGTCAGGAAACATCTGATTCATTTCCTGCACCCCTGGAAGAGACCGCACACAAAGCCAGGGCCACTGCGAAGACACAGGCATGCCCCTGGGCCCCTCACTGTCCCTACAGCTCAGACTGGATACAGATATGAGCCACGAGCAGCGGCACTGCACAAGAGAGAGACAATGGCCAACCGTTGAGGAAAACCAATGACCCACCAGCAGCCAACAACCAGACAGCAAGACCAGACTGGACAAGACCAGTCTGCCCCATGCTCTGCAGCATGGCGTGTTGGGGGTCTGGCACTCGTTCCTCTCCTGTGAACTGTGAGCTAGTGGCTCTTGGGTTCAGCATCCCCTTAGCCGGCTCCTGTCAGCAGGAAATGCCCCGCTCCCAGGGTTGGGGGCTGTGGAGAGGTGGAAATGACATCACAGTCCACAGAGAACACGCCAGAGATGAATTTATTCCCCCCCTGACAGCGGTGGCGGCGGGCTGCGCGGGCTGCGGCTCACAGAAGCTGACATGCCACACACACTCACACTGAGTCAGCAAAGCAAGGCCGTGGACGCCTGCCACATGCCCACGCGAGAGCCAGCATGTGCGGGCTGCCAGGCCTCCTCTAGGTTTCATAACTCCACAGGTCAGATAGAAACCGAGTCTCAGAAACTGTCGCAACAAGAGACTGGGGAGGCGAGTACACACAGGCGTCATGTATTCGCCCTCAGCGTTACAGACACAGCGTCAGGGTCTCTGCACGCAGGGGTATCTGGGAACCAGTAGGCGCTGCTAGCACCTGCCCAAACCCCAGCACAGCTCAGCAGTGCCAGACTCCAAGCAGACAATCTGCCTGGGAGGCTTAGCTTACCACCTGCTGCCTGGGGCAATGAGATCCATTCGGGGTTTTGATCCCGCCACAAGGGTCTCCCACTCAATGTTCCCTCACCCCCCCCAATCCCAAGGTGTCCACCACCCGTCCCCTCAGCTCTAGTCTTAGGCTCCTAACCCAGTCCCCGCTGTGGCTACGGTTGGCAAACAGCCACCCTGTGTGACCTGGTGCTAGCCTGTGGGGGTGGCTGCTGGGGGTGGCAGAGCCATGAACAACTGCAACTCTCAGGGGCCCTCTGCTGCCTGCAGAGACCGCTCAGCTTTGTAGCAGGCCTTGGCTGGAGAAGAGGACCCGAGGCCTAGACATGGGAGCAGACCAGGTCCTGGGGGCCTGCAAGATCTTGCATCCAAGGGCACAAGGGCTGAGGCCAGGGCCTGACCTGTGGGCCAGGGACCCCAGGCTGCGGGTCGCTGCTGGATGGAGAGTCGGACTCCGTGAGGAAAGGCGCAGCCCGAGGTTTCCGGGGATGCGGGGTGTGCCTGTTGCGCGGCTTCCTGTGCTGGGACCTCGGCCCACAGGGCATCCCCCTGAGGCCACCATTCCAGGAGCTGGAGAACACCTTTCCCCGGCATCGTGGGCCAGCCAACCTCTCCCCAGCATAGAATCGAGGTGGCCCCCCAGGGAGATCCTTCAGGGAGCCGGGGCGGAGAAGCCATGGGCTGGACACTGCCCTCAGGGCCTCCTCCTCCTCCTCCTCTTCCTCCTCCTCACTAGGGGCTGGGGAGCCCACCCACTGGGGGGCCCAGGGCACACCTGACTTCATGGTGCTGGGATACAGCACCAGGATATCCCCCGAGGTGTTGACCCTGAAACTTCTTTGAGGCCTGAGAGTGTCGCGGGCCCTGGGGTGGCGCCGGCAGCCTTTCCTGGAGAGAGGTTCCGAGCGTGCTGGGGTACAGGGCTGGGTCAGTGCCTTGGGGCTGGGAAGGTTCCCGGTGCTAGCGCAGGGACCTTGTGAGCACCTGTGACACAGACAGAGCCCGGATGGGCAGGCTCTGAGCATGGCCAGCTTTTGCTGAGAACCAGAGACACGGGGACATGGGGACCCAGGGGATTCCTTCCACTGGAGCCAGCAGGCACAGCCAGAGGCCCCTGGCAAGGCTAAGTGCAGGGACACGCCTGCCAGGACATCTCTTCCTGGGTGGCAGTTGTCACAGAAACGTCCCCTCACTCAAGGCCCTGAATGGTGGGGCTGGCCTGGGACCCCACTGGCACAGTCTGAGTATGGCCTCTAGCCTGAGGACCCGCCCCCGCCCCACTCACCTGCTGTCACACTCCCTCCAGGACCCCCTGGACTCCAGGCTGCTGGGGAGGGGTGAGCTGCAGTGGCTGTGCACTGGCGGGGGCCCTGGGGAGCGGGCACCGACCCTGTGGCTATGGTTCTGGTGTGTCTCTGGGGGGCCCTGCTGGCAGCCAAGCCTGCTGTTCCTCGGTAGCTGTTGGACACTCCCCTCCTGGCTGTGGGTCCGGGCTGTGGGGAGAGGGACAAGGACAGAGCCCCAGTGGTGCCTTCACCCCAAGCTGCAGCTGAAAGTGGGGGGTGGGGGGGAAGAGGGCGACACCCCGGCGCAGGCTCAGGGGTGAGCCCGGGCTGTGCTTACAGGATCCCAGCCCTTTCCCTGGCACCACCGGGCCCATGGTCTGAGGGGGTGCCCAGCCTGTGGTGCCTGTTGCCCCTGTGCCCATCAATGCCTGCTGCCCACTCCTACCTCCCGCCAGCTGTGCCAGCTTCTTCTTGTCCTCCGACCGTGCCTGGAATGCAGCGACAGTGAATGGATCGGGGGCAGGCGGAGTAGTCACTTTCCTCAGACACAACAGCGAGAGGGGAACCCACGTCCCCAGCATCCCTTGGTCCCCCCAAATGTCCTCCCCAGTGACGGCAATAAGACCCAGCTCTGGGGGTCATTATTAGCCTAATAGCACCAGGCTCTGCACGGTGCCCACTCATTCTGGCTGCCTGGGCCCCCTCGGTCCCCACGTGTGGAAGGGGAGCCCAGCCCCCTGAAACACACCCTGGGGGAGCTGAATGGGGTTTTGGTGGGTTCACAGAAAGACTCGGCTCCAAGGAGGGTGGGTGGGGGTGGGAGGGGCCCCGGGGCACTCACGTCCTGCATCTGTGCCCGGAGCTGCTGGTTGCTGAGCTGCAGGGAGCGCGCGATGCTTTGCAGGTAGTAGATGAGCATGCTAGGGGCAAGCGCAGGGGTCAGCACCTGCTCCCTGCCAGAGGGGCATTCCACCCTGGCCCTGGACAAGTGCTGCAGTGCATCCTTCGGCCTGCAGGGGGCGTCAGGGCCTGGCGCCCTCTGTGCCTCGGTTGTCTTTCGAGCTCCCTGGAATTTGCATCCCATCCAACCGGGCAGGGGGCAGCTGCCGGGACGACCTCTGAGCGGGGGACTTAGAACCAAGGAAGGCAACTGAGTGTTGGGCTCACAGGAGCAGCAGCACAGCGGGCAGGATCACCACGGGGCTGGCGGCGTAGCCCAGCACAGAGCCCACCCAGGTGGGGAAGTCCTCTGCCACCGTCTCAGACACCACGTCGTACATCTTCTCCTGGCCACTGTGGGCAAGACCGAGGTCAGGGGACACGGCCCATACTGGACGCCCCAGGTCAGAGCTTCTCGGGAGCCCCCAGGTGAAAATCCTGTCAGTGGGGGCATGGTATGAGATTCAGGGGGCAGCCAGCGGGCTGGGGGCCGTAGGGAGGAAGCAAAGCAGTAAGAAGGCTGAGCAGCTCCTCTGGTGGGGCTGAGGCAGGAAATGTTGAGTGAGCACAAAGTGTGGGGCAGGGAGGAGGAAGCGGAAAGTGAGGACCAGGAATCAAGGAGCAGGAAGCAGGGTGCAAAGCGCAGAAACGGGGGAGCAGGAAGTAAGCAGGGAACAGGAAGTGGGAAGCGGGGACTGGGGAGCAGGAAACAGAAGGAGACACCGGAAGCCGGAAGCCAGGCTTAGAAAGCAGGAAGCGGGAAGCAGCGAGCAGGAAGTGGATAGCAGGACATGGGAAGCAGGAAGTGGGGAGCCGGAAGCCGGAAGGGGGAATGAAAAGCAGGAAGGGAGGAGCAGGAAGCAGGGAACAAGAGCAGGAAGTGGGGAGCTGGAAATAGGAAGTGGGGGCCAGGAGAGAGCAGACACCTGAAGGGGCCGCACTGCGGCGATGGCTTGTAGCGGACGATGGCGAAGATGGTGGGCAGCACACACAGGAAGAGCATGAACAGGAGCGTTGCCAGGTAGAAGTTGTTGGACCTGTGGACAGGGGATGGCCAGACTAGGGGTGACCTGGTTTTGTAGCCAGCCCTCCTGGACTGGGGTGCCCCATCAGCTCATCCCACCCAGCTTCCACCCGGCCTCTGAGGATTGGCTGAGCACCTCCAGGTCAGAGCACGGGGACCCCAGAGCGTCCCAAGAACTTCTGGGGCCACTCCTGGCCACACTGGGGATGAGCAGGCACATGAAGCCAGCACCCCTGACCCCCGACCCCTGACCTTGTCATCTCCATGGTGCTGGTGGCCCAGGCGCTGCTATCTGTGGTTCCCCCTCCAGGGTCACCTGCACTTGGGAGGTTTGCAGATATCCTCCACCTTGCCCAGTGTGCGAGGGGAGGCCAAAACCTGAGGGATGGGCAAGGGGTCACAAGCGGGGGTTCCTACGGTGGGTTGTGCCGCGGTTCCCTCCTCCTTGCTCACCTGGAGGCCCGGAACACTTGCTGGTGGGGCACATTGCAGGTGAGCACCGCCCAGCTCCGCAGGTACATGAGCCCCGTGAGTTTGAGGACGTTGACAGCAGGAAGACACGGGGAGAAGAAAGCGCCCATCCTGGAGGCCAGAGGGAAGCAGGAGAAGTTGAGCCTAGGTCCCAGGGGAGTTTGTGGAGTGAGGACGAAGGCACAGTCCCACCCCCCTTCTCAGGAGGCCCCAAGTCGGCACAGTCCTCCTGGCAGCTCCCATCGCTCTGACAGATTCCACCCGGGCCTCAAACGGGCCACTGCCTCTCTTCTCCTTTCCAGGGGCCACTGACCAGATCATGCCCTGGTTGTAGACCAGATGCAGGACGTTCTCTGCGATCTTGAACTCTCCGTACTCGGGCTGCGGGAGAACAGACGGGGCCTGCAGCTCTGCCCGCCTCGCCTCCCTCACCCTGGGGCTCCAGGAGGGTCACCTCACTCACGAACTTGCTCTCCAGGTCCCAGCACCAGTAGTCACTCAGGTACCGCACGGCAAGCCCACGGAGGAAGTCGATGAGCAGCACGCTGGCCACGGTGAAGAGCATGTCAACGATGGACAGCTTCAGCATCTCCTGAAAGGCCAGCCTGTTGGTGGCCCGCCCCTCAGGGTCCCCTCCGCCACCATGCAGGCCCATGCAGGACCCAAAGGCTCTGCTGGTCCTCTGGGAACCTTCCGTTCTGGCCCCTGGTGGGCATCAGGTCAATTCTGGCTGATCCAACAGGGACTTGGAGCCCCAAGGCTGGACTCAGTGAGGGGAGCGGGGGTGGGGCTCACAGTCAATATCCCGGGTTGAGTCTTGAGCCCCCTCACTGCTCTCCCTGTGCCCCAGCTGGGCTGCAGTGTCCCCTTCTCTGCCCAAGGAGGGGTGGCAGGGACAGACCTGCACAGGATGTGACAGGCAAGGTCTCTGTGTTCCCTGTGGCTTCTCTGGGGCCTGGGTCGCCTGCGCCCTCCGAGAGGGCCTCCCTCAATCTCCCGCAAATAGGGTGGGTTCAGGGCTAAGTGGGGGCTCGCGTACCTGCCCGACATAGGTCTCCCAGCAGGGGCCTGGGGGGCTCTGGGGAAGCATGGTGGTGCTGTTGGCTTCTGGGGGCGCCAGGCCGGGGGTCCCCGAGCTGTTTCTCAGGAGCTGCAGCCATTTCTCTCCTGCAGGGGCTGTGCCAGTGGCCCAGGCCACAGCCGCACCTTCCCAGGGAGCCGTGGTGTTCCTCAAGGTCGAAGCCTGGGGCAGGAAGGGAGGAAGGGTCCCTGTGAGGAAGAGGTGGCAGCAGCCACTGGGGACGTGAGTGTGGGGACTCAGTGGAGGCTGCTGGTAGGGACATATCTCTGGGAGCTGGGCGCCAGCCTGGTCCCTCCTTGGCCTCCTCTGAGCAAGCAGGGGATCCACACAGGTGCTCCCAGACCCAGTCGCAGCTTTCTCCCCTGCAAAGAGCCCAGGTGGGCTGAGATCTGAGCATGGTGAAGGGGAGCAAGTGGGGGCAGACATGCCAGCAGTGAGGGCCATTCTGGCGTCTGCACGTGCGCATGCGTTAGCATGCAAGTGAGCATGTGTGCGTGTGCTATGAGAATGCATGTGCTAGCATGTGCACCTGCGAGGGCATGTGTGTACTAGATGCGCCCATGTGTGCCCCGGCATGTGAGGACGTGTGCATAAGCATGTGTGTGTCTGACCATGTGCATGACCATGTGTGTCTCTGTGCAGACACTGGAGCTGTGTGTGTGTGTGTGTGTGTGTGCGCGCGCGCATGTGTGTGTGTGTGCCACAGTGCGGGCGGCCTCACCTCAGTGCTCATGCTGTTCACCTTGTCCAGGAGGGCAATGATGAGGCTGTACAAGTTTCCCAGGTACAGCACCAGCACCCTGTAGGCCGGGTGGGAGGTGCCACGTGAGGGGCTGATGTGGGCACCAGCTTTCCCTAGACCTTTCACGGGGGCAGGGCAGGCAGTACATTCTAGAATCTGTGGTTTTGCAGGAGGTAGGGGGGCTGCCTGTACTCTGCGCCCAGGAGGAAAGCAGGTCCACAGAGAGGCCTCCAGCTCCTGCCTTCTGCTGGAGGCTCCTGCGGAGTCCCCAGAGCCTGGCTGTACCCCGCACCCCTGGTTCCACTCTGCGCATCACCCCAGAAGCAGCAGCACAGGCTGAGGGCCTCATGCTCCAGCCCAGGACCTGCGGGGTCTCCCTGCTGCCAGCCACAGATGCAGTCCTGGCCCCCTGTGTGGGGTGACAGGTCCCTCGATGAACCTCAAGGCCCCCCTGCAATGCTCTGGGATGGGAAGCACTGGAACAGCTGGATCACGCCCGTCTCCTGCCCCTTTCACCCCCCGCCCCCGGCCCACCTTGCCAGCTGGAAGCGCAGTGTAGTCCGGGGGTGGTAGCGCTCCAGGGCCGCGATGAGGTCGAAGGCGGATGGGGCCAGCATGGTCACCAGGGAGACCACCACACTCACCTGAGGGAGGAGGTGAGAGGGAGGACGGGGGGCAGCCACGGTGTCCATTGGGGACACTATGGGGTGCGGGAGTGTACCTCATTTTTCTCCCAGAGTGTGAGCTCACGCTGTGCCTGCTCCAGCCGCTGGGCACGGCCCACCACAAAGTAGATGAGGAAGATGCTTCCGGCCAGCGAGAGCAGCACCAGCACGTTGGCCACAAGCCTCAGGCACACGGTCACGGCCCTATAGGCAGCACAGGACGGGGGGCACGGTGGGGCACCCCCAGCCACCCCTCGGGTTCACCCACCTCGGCTCACAGGGAGTCATGCAGCTGGGGCGGGCCCGGGGCTTGGGCACCAGGAGCGGGTCCTGGTCTCTGTTCCCAGCGCCACAGAGTGCCAGGACAGGAAGCAGGTGACAGGGCCGGCTGTGCTCTGGGCTCCCAGGGACGCATCCCAGAAGGAGGTGCAGCCTGGGGGTGAGTCTCCCACTCCGAGTGCAAGTTAGACCCAAGGGACCTGCTCTTCCAGACCTAGTAGGGGGCCAGTGCTCAGCTCCTCAGGGGATCGATTCTCAGTCCTTGGGGTGGGTCTGTGCTCTGGTCCTTGGGAGGGGTCGGTACTCACAGGTTCTTGCTTCTTTTCTTTTCCTGCTCCTCCAGGATGGCCTCCTAAGAGACAGATGCAGCATTCAGAAAGGACCTGGAACCCAATATGGAGGTCCCTCTCACAGACCCCTGGGGTTGCCCTCACAGGACCTCTGGGCACGGGGTCTCCCTTGCGACTCCAATGGGGACAGGCGACCCCAACTCAATGGAGAAAGTGGGGGCCACAAGCTCTGATGCAGGGAAGCACAGCGGTGGAAGCCTCAGGACACACACGGTCCCGCCAAGGACAGACCTGCTCACACCCCCTTCGGACAGCCTCACTTCAGTGCCTGCACCCCACTTGCCCGGATGCTGTTGACGATGGCGGCTGTCTTGCTTTCGGCAGCCTCGGGGTTCCCAATAAGGTAGTCCCAGGCACAGAACACACGCCAGCAGAAGGCGTAGCTCTCGTCCGAGGCGCTGGCCAGGCTGCTGCGGGAGTTCTTGGCCATCCTGGGAAGGGGCGCGGACGAGGACAAGCCCCCAGGCCCCTCTGTACACACTACTGGGTATCAAAGTTCCCCAGACCCACACCCCAGGGCTTCCCAGCCCCCAAAACCACAGACGGCTGGGGCCCAGGTGCCTACTTCTTCAGAAGCACCACGAAGCTGTAGGCAAACACAGCCATGCCCACCAGGAAGTAGGCCAGGGGCAGCCTGTAGCCGGCTCTGCCAATGCGTCGTTCCCGGCCGTAGTAGCCATAGAAGAGTGCGGAGTACTGCAGGTAGCCCTGAGGGAAGCCAGGAAGGGGGAGCACTACAGGTAAGGGGGAGCACTATCGGTAAGAGGGAGCACTGTGGGTAAACAGGGAGGTACTGCGGGTAAGGGGGCAGGAACTGCAGGTAAGGGGGAGCACTGTGGCTAAGCAGGGAGGAACTGCGGGTAAGCACTGTGGGTAGGAGGGAGCACTGTGGGTAGGTGGGAGCACTGTGGCTAAGGGGGGAGCACTGTGGGCAGGGGGAGCATTGCGGCTAAGGGAGGGAGTACTGTGGGAGGAGGGTAGTACTGTGGGTAGGGGGAGGAGTATTGCAGGGAGCCTGGGGGTTGCTGACCCAGTCAAGCCCCCAGGGTGTGTCCCCAGCCTCACCCCCAGGGACCACACGGTGTCTAGGTCTTGGGCTGATGCAACGTGCTCCTGGGGGATGCTCTTGCTGGTGGTGCTCCCAAAGGGCTGCCCTGCGACAAGCTGCGGGAGCAGGGCCCAGTGGTCGGGGGCTGAAGGCAGTAGCACCCCAGCGGGGTCTCCATCAGACAGTCCGACCATCATTGGAGCCCCAACTAGGCCCGCCCAAAAGGTCCCTTGGGCACCCCCAGCGAGAGGAAGTGATCACTCTTCCAGGGTCTGACCTAGAGCTTGGAGCCAGCGGCCTCTCTATGAAGAGGCCTGGGAGTGGGTTTTGGGGGGTGGCAAGATGGAGGTCTTTGGGGGGCAGGACAAAGTGCATCTCAGTACCCAGCACTCACGGACCTGTCTCAGAAGTGTCCTCAGAAGAGGCAGGGTGGGGCGCCATGACACCCCTGTCCCCTCACCTCAGGGATGACAACAAAGGCGCCGGTCATCACGGAGAGCACAACATTGACCCCGAACAGCCACCGCAGGAAGATGAAGTAGGAGGCGACCCCAGAGCCAAAGTGACCTGCAAGGGATGGGGGCGGAGGGGAGGAGCAGGCAGGCAGAGACGCTCAGATGCATCCCCAAAAGGGCATCTGGGATGGGCCCAAGGCTACGTCTGCCTGCAAGGTGGGCCCCCACATTTGACAGGGGTGCCCAGGATCCCTCCCTGCACCCTGCCTGCCTGTCCCCTGGCCCTCCTTCCTCCTCCTCTCCCCCACCCCTACCCTTGCACCCCCAGAGTCTGCTCCTTTCTGTCCAAGGGCTCCAGTAACCCTATGGTTGCTGCCATGGGACCCCACATCTGTTGCAAGTTTCAGTGTTGGCCCTGGCGGGACTCTGCAGAGTCCTTGCTGCAGCCCGGGAGGGTCCCACGCTGACCCCTCTGGGACAGAGCAGGAGTTCTTTGCGCGGTCAGCAAGTATCCCAGATCAAACACATTGAAAAGTGGGAGCGGGGCTTTAGAGCACATTTTAGAGGAGATATTGGTGCTCCACCTGCACTGAGTGCACGGATCCTCTGAGAAGAAAACCTCAGAGCATCACGGAAACGTGACCTCTGTGGGGCGGGAGCGAGTCTTGCAAGGAGCCCTGGGGGCCCCTGGGGCAGCACCATGCCCTCCACTCCAGCACTGGGGATCCCCAGGTCTCTGAGCCTGAGCACTGTGGTGGGCTCCCGGAGACCGAGCCGGGAATCAGTCCCTGCAGGCCAGGCTGTGGGATGACAGTGTCTCTCCCAGAAACACGCACGACTCCCAGCGAGGGTCACCTGGTTTGTCCAAGCAGCCCCGCCTGTGCTCCCGAAGCAAAGCCGGAGAAGAGGGTTCAGATGATGCCCCTAGAGGGCAAGGTCCTTCGCCCCAGGGCCCGGTACAGACGGTGTCAGCTGCAGTCTGAGCTCGAGGGGCCCCCAATGGACTGGGGGCTGAAGGGCTGCCCCCCTCACTGGTCACACCCGGACTCCTTTTCCCACGTCACTCACTCTCAATCTTCTTTATCCGCGTTTCCCAGGGGATGAAGAGGACGGCAAAGTTCGAGGCGAGACGTACGAGCCTCCTCCAGAGCTGGAGGGGACAAGAGAGCTGGTGAGCCCTGAGCTGTGCCCAGAGACCCCTGGTCACAGCACCGCCTCGCACCTGCTCCATGGCCTCACGCCAGGACTCCGCTGAGCTAACACCCAAACACTGGTCTCCTGAGGACAAAGCACCGGCTCTGTCCATGGGCAGGCTGAGCTCTGGCCAGAGCAGTGGGTGTAGGCAGGTGCTCCTCTGACCTGGTGTCTCCCTTACCTCACTGCCTGCTGCCTGGTAGCCGCGGGTCCTGGTGAGTCTCCCCTCAAACCTGAGCACTGTCTCCTTGGCACGTCTAGGAGGATGGGGGGGGCGCCTGTGAGTGTGGGCCGGGGTGAACGGAAGAGATGCACGCCTTCGAGGAGTCAGCAGATGGCCCTGAGACCCAGCCCACAGAGGATGCAGTTCCAAGGCCCCTGGAGACCCGGAAGGTGATGGCCACACGGAGGATGCTGCAGTGGTCACCGTCCCGCAGGGGTGACTAGCAATGTTCACCATCACAGCTGGTTCCACACTGGGAGCTGCTGTCACTTGGCCCTGGAGGCCTGCAGGGCTGGGTCACCCGTGGTTCCAGATGCAAGGCCAGACGGGGGCGCCCTGCACATCTGTGCTTTCCCAGAGGCTGGGACTCTCAGGGTCCCTAATGTTAGTTCCCACCCATCTGAGGTCACAGGTTGGAACATGGGGTGCACAAGGACAGGTTATGGGGCCAGGCCACTCACCAATGGGGCAACGAGACTGGGAGACACAGCCGTGAGGGAGGGAGAGGGGGAGGGGCATGAGGCTGGCAGATCCTACGCTCACACCCTATGCCCCACCCCACACAGCTGGGACTGGAAACCCTGTGCAGGTGGGCGGGGAACACTATCCCTGAGTGTCTCCAAGGGCACTTCTGTGCAGGGGCAACACATCACACACACACACACACACACACACACACACGCGCATGCGTGGAGGAACTGGATTTCCTCAGGTGATCAAAGCAAAGTTCCCCCAATACCCCCCACTTCAGGATCACCCCCACCTCAGGGCAACTACCTCAGGACCCCCAATGCCCCTACCTCAGGGCTCCCCACCTCAGGGTCCCCCATTGCTCCCACCTCAGAACTTCCACCTCAAATCCCCCACCTGAGGCCTCCCTCTGTCCCCACCTGAGGGGCCCCCCACTGCCCCCACCTGAGGGTCCCCACTGCCCCCACCTCAGATCCCCTACCTGAGGGCCCCCCACTGCCTCCACCTCAGATCCCCCACCTCAGGGCCCCCCCACTGCCCCCACCTCAGGGCCCGCAGCTTCTGTGTCATGGTCCAGGGGCGGCAGCGAATGTTGGCCACCAGGTCCTTCTGCAGCTGCAGGTTCTGGAAGATTCGCTCTGGGTCACTGCCATCTTCTGCGTCCACACTGCTGCCATCGTCCAGGTGGCTGCAGGAAGAGATAAAGGAGATGATCAGTGAAGCTGCCCCTTGGCCCAACACAGCAGCTGGGCACTGTCACCTGTGTGACCCATGTCAGATGCAGGGGCCCTGTCTAGGGGTCAGGAAAGGTTCTATCTGGGGGACGGGGCCTACCCTGTCTGGAGCTTTGGGGTCGGCTCTGTCCAGGAGTCAGGGTTGGTCCTTCAGGGGGTCAGTGTTGGCCCTGTCCAGGGGGTTGGGGATGGTCCTGTCCAGACTATCTAGGGGGCTGGGGACAGCCCTGTCTGGCGGGGGGGGGGTCAGGGATGGTCCTATCTGGGGCTCAGGGAGAGCCTTATCAAGGAGCTGGGGATGGTCCTTTTGCAGAGAAGGGGCACCCAGAAGAGGCCACAGGGCTGCCGTGTCTGAGGGTACAGGACCCCCCTCAGGCTCAGTGAGAAAAACTCATCTCAGAGGTGAGATGCATGAGGGAGGTGACATCACCAGGACCCCAAAGGCAGCGCCTGTGGGGAGCACACCTCAAGAGGCGCTGGCTGTGGGGAACAGGGCCAGCAGGAGCTGGTGGCAGTTCAGGGACACCCACACGGAAGGAGATGGGTGAGCTTTTGGCATCTCTGATGCTCGGTGGGAAGTTTCCCAGTGCACCCAAGCCTACCAGCCTGCGGCTGCTGCCCCCCAATGCCCATTTCTGCAGCCTCACCCTGGCATCAGGGCCCTCTGAAGAGTGGGTGGGTGGGTGGCAGCACCTCCTCCTGTGGGCCCAGAGAGGTGCCCAGTGCTCACTGCGGGGACAGGCCACCAGACAGGGCTCCTGTTCCTGGCCAGACAAAGGCCTGGCTGGGTGACCCACGCCCGAGCGGGGGATTGGTTGCTCACCTGAGCAGCAGGGAATCCGGGCAGAGGTGACGCTGGCTGGCATTTTTGTGGGTGCTGCAGCAGCGCTGGGACCCCTTGGAGCGCTTCATGGGGGCCAGGGAAGCCGGGGTGGGCAGTGGCTGGCAAGCAGAGTCCTCCCTCCAGGTTCTCTGGCACAGGACGGCAGCTGCCCGAGCGGGGAGCAGGGAGGGGGGCTCATGCATATGCATCAGGCACTGCAGCTGATTGGCTGATGTGTGCAGGGAGGAGGCTGGACTAAGGCCTGGGGGAGCTGGACACTGGGACCCCGGGTCCAGCAGGCCCTGGGGTTCACAATGCACCTAAGGCCTGGGCGTCTCCCCATCTGACTTCCTCTGTTAGGGTGCTTCTGCCCTGCCTGAATCCATCCTCTCATGCAGTTTCTAGTTGTGGGTACTTTGCCTCTTCACAGAGTCATCTCTGGGCCTGTTCAGGAGCAGATTCTGAGGTATTTCTAGGGAGTCAGTAAAGCAGTGCAAACAAATATTTTCTTTTTAAAATTGATTTACATGATCCTGACAATTTATGTCAAGATAGAGCCACTTTTAATACACAGGCCATAAATTAATAAAGATAAGTAAGAATAATGACTAATCTTCTCTTCCCAGGTGATTAAAAACTTTTATTGACATAATATTGGTTTATAAAATTATGTGTTTTCGGCATAGCGTATTATGATTTGACATCTGTTTAGACTTCATGATCACCAAAAGAAGTTGAGTTTCTCCGTTACTGTACAATGGAGACCCCCTTACTGCATTTACTCCCACTTCTTTTTAGATAAATTTGTCATCCCAACTTTTGCCTATTTCAAAAAAGAAAAAAAAAAGCAAAACAGATTCCTAAGCATTTCCACTATAAAATCAACGAATACTTACACATTAAAAAAAAAATGTAAGTCAGAAACGCAGAGGAAATAGCCCTGAAATGCCCACCAGAACCCAGCTTTCTCTGTTCTTAATCACAGCACACGCTTCTCTTAGCACCGATAATGTATTAAACTACATGCATAAATCTTGGGTGTGGTTCGGGGGCCAGACCCAGCACTGCTTAGGGGACCCTGCGGGCCAGGAATCACCTCCTGGATCTCACACATGCCAGGCAAGTGCCCTGACTGACAACCCCTTGCCAGTGCCCGAGTTCCTTCCAGCGTGGCCATGTGCGCTGCTGAGGGTGAGGTTGGGTCAGGACATGTGTGGGAGCTACTTGACCTGCTCACCACTGGACACTGCGCCAGCTCGTGCCTGTCCCCCACCATTTCTCTGGAATTTGCTGTGCAGAGAGCAATCGTCGGGTCAGAGGGAAGGAAGGATGGTTGGCTCCAAGCTTGCAGACAGACTTCATGTGTTTCCGTCATTACCGGAGAAATGAGATTTTAATGTGATCAGACCTGCCTGTGTCTCCCGTCGGCCCGGCTCTGACGATCAAGTTTCCCTTTGGGGCCTGGTGCTGATGGCGAGTTCCAGGGGGGGCTGGCACTGCCGTCCCCCTCAGTGCTGCAGGGGCACCCAGACACTTACCCCAAGCCCCCCGGGGATCCAGGGCAAGGTTAGGAGCACCAAGGAGGGGCTGTTCCCCTGTGCAGCCTGGGGTGAGTCACTGGACTTCCTCCGACAATTTGATTAGAGACATCGAGAGCTAGATGGTTTAAATTAAGTCAGCATGTGCATTTAGACAGAACAACGGAAAACCCTCCAAATGCCTCTGATGGGGCCATTGCCAGCGCTGGATCCGATATCCAGCAAAGCTGAAGCTCAAGGGGCTGAGGGTGGAGAAGGGAGGTGGTGAGGGCGGGCGAGGGGCGTTGACTCAGAAAACCTTCTGGAAAGGGGAGCTGGGGGGGACACTGCTATAAAGCCCAGGCAGGTTCAGGGGCCGTCAAGCCGTGTGTCTCTCCAGCTGAGAGAACCGACTTGAGCCCTGACCAGGCAAGGCTGGGGCTCCTCCACCTGACCTGCGAGCTGTGGAATGAAAACCGTTGTGTAAATCCAACCAAGTGAACGTGGCTTGAGCCCTGAGCAGGTCTCGCCTCCAGTTTCCCCATGGAAAGCAAGCGAGGCACAGGCACAGCCGCCCCGTGGGACCTGTTTCAGAGCTCAGGAAACGTGACCCTAGGAACGTGGCACTGATAGTGGGCGGCCCTGGGTGGAACCAATATTTGCCACTGAAAGCATAAACGTGGATGGTCCCTTTTCCCAGTCTGGGTTCTGTGGACAATAGGGTGAGGAATTTGGACTTAGGGCCCCCAGGCAGAAAGCTAGGGGAGCCGGAGGTTTGCGGCACTGAAACGAGTGCCCACTAGGGGGCAGCATCCGCACAGCACCTGGAGCTGTCCTGGTCCAAGCCTTGTGTGCCTCACGCCAAGGCCAAGGCCAGCTCCGGGGGGTGCCACTCAGTGTCCACCCACAGCCTCACAAGGAGGGTCAGTCCTACAGAACCCTACCCGAACCCTCCATGCCCCAAAGGCCAGCATGTCACATTCCTGGGGCCCGAGACTCCCTGCCGACCTGGGGTTCCCGCAGGGGGGCTTCAAATCATGCTCACTGGAGTTGGGACCCCCATACCAGTCCCTGCCTCATGTCTGCTGGAGCCGCAGGGAGCTAATGGAGCTGGGGGCCCTAGAACAACCATCTCATGGCCACTGGTAGAGGTTGAGGTCAGCTCCAGGGAGAGCGTGGACACACAGCATGACATGACAGAAGGCGGATGGCCAGAGAGGACAGGGAGGCTCCTGGGGACAGAAACCACATCACCAAGAAGGGCACCATGAGGTGCGCTCCACAGAAAGTGCCACGAGCACCACGGGAGAGCCACAGAGCACGGAGGGCTGTCCCTGTGGGCGGGTGGCCTCTGTTCCTACTGTTCCTCCTGCAAGCAGCAGCCTCTGTGCACGAGTCAGCAGATCACATGGGAATTCCACAGGCCACCTTGTTCTAACTGAGGGGAGGCACACAGACGAGACCCCATCCCGGAGTGCAGTGACCCCACCTAGCGGGGAGAGTGAGTGGAGATCCCGGCTGCGGCCTATGACTGAGTGGCCTGGCCGCCCTGCTGTCCATCCTGATAATGGTGGGAAGCTGCCCGGGGCCTCACCACAGACTGCCTGCCTCCCCAGTCTGGCTCCATGTGCGCTCAGACCATGGCCTGATCTCAGCAGGGAAGCATGTGAGCAGTGGGGGGAGTGGGCCCCGCCCCCCGCAGAAGCCTCACCAAGGCCCCGAGCTGTCCTGCAGCCAGGAGGCTGGCTGGCCACATCAGACAGGCGCTCTGAGCCCCGTGGCTGCGAAGTGCAGCCTTTCCGGGTGGGGGAGAATTTGGGTTTCTGTCTCCGCAGCCCCAAAGAGCACGCAGGGCAGGGAATGGCAGCTTTCCCGAGGCGGCTCAGAGAGAGAGTGCAGCCGGACTTTAACTCTCTGAGAGCCAGGAAGGCGATGGGGCCTGAAGGGGCTTTGATGGGGGGAGGGGGGGCTTCCATTTCTGCAGCTTTTCTCCCCGGACCATGCCTATCTCCCCCCTCCCCCGACCCTGTATGGCACTTCCTGTGGTCAGGGGCCACACTGCTGAGGGAGCACTGTGGGGTCTGTTCATTGCATTTTCTGCTCCTCCTTATCCCAGGGAGCAGCCAACAGCACAGGGCAAAAGCCCAGTCAGGGTCTGAGATCTGGGACCGCCTTCCCCGCTGCCTCCCCCCCCCCACCACACACACACAACACAACCCTGCAAAGCGGGTGAAGTGGGAACCAGCTCTGGGCAGCAAACCATCCCTCCTGCCCCCTGGCGCCCCCTGATGAGGAGCAGGTCCCCCCGAAGAGCTACTCTGGGAGGAGGTGGAGCAGGAAAGAGGCTCGGGTCTGATCTGGTTCCCGGGCTCTGGCTTCTCAGGTTTCTTTTCTGAACTTTCTACATTGTTTCCCCCTTTCTGGCTGCTAACCCTGGCCAAGACCGTCACTGGTCATTCAACTCTCCCACAGGCCTGCCACCTCGCTTCGGGGCCTCTGAGGCCGCAGACCCAATGCCTGGGTGTGGCTGGGGGGGCCCTTCTGCAGACATGGCCACACAAGGGCCCGCTCGGGGGACACTGAGACGCGGCTTGGGGCAGAAGGAGCAGAGACCAGTGGTCCCCCTGCCTGAGCCCCTCACTTGGCCTCTCCCTTGGCCTTCAAGTTTGCAGGCGCCATGGCCCCTGCCCGGCCGGCTTCTAGATGGCTGGTCCGCTTCGATCAACACCTAGACGCTCTCTCGGGAAAGAGCGGAGTCTAGACAGAATAGAACAGCGCTCACACGTGTTTCGGATTACAAGACACGGCTCCTCTCAGAGCCAATTCCTGGGGCTTCACGCACCCCCCCAACCCCGTCGCCACCTCCCCCCCCCACCCCGCTGCCATAAATCACGATGACTAATAGGTAAATGCTCCCCCAGCACTTCCCCCCAAGAGGAGCATCAAAGAGCGGTGAAGAGGCAATTCGGTTCAAGCGGCCTGCTGTGAGATGGACTTTCGGAGTCTTGGGGAGTGTGTGTGACCCTAACTTCAGCAGCATGCATGGGCAGAGCAGCGCCCCCTGCAGGCCTGGCATAGCCACGGGTGCTGCACGCCCAGCACCCACCCTGTCCTCAGCTGTGAAGGAAAATGCGGTGCTTGTCACCAGGACTGGTTTGATGAGGCAAGTGAAGCTCTTGAGCCTCTTCCCGCCCTTCCTTTCTTCCTTCCTGGGGTGAGGGGATGCGTGTGTGGGGGGATGGTGTGTGGAAAGCAATCAAGGCCTCTACCCAGCACCCTCACCCCCAGTCACCCATTCACCCCAGGGAGGGAATACCAGCTTCTGGCAGGACATTTCCTGCCGCGGAAAGACATTTTGGTGTCGCCTGTCTGGCCGCCCGTCTGGCCGCCACGCACTGAGTAGGGGGACGGGGAGAGCCTGTGGATGGCCCTGGTTCACCCAGACCCCCTGCTGACCAGGTTCAGGGCTCCCTCTGCATCTAGGGCCTGGGTGTCTCGTATGCGAGGTCTCCCCACGTCTCCATGCCTGGGCCTCCCCTGCACCTTCCTGGACCACACATACCCTCCCCAGG